ATCTTAATACAGAAAAATCTTAAAGTGAATATAAAGAGAAAACCAGATAATTTTTGGGGGGGGCTTAATGAAAAAAGAGACCTGGAGAAAAAATTCAGAACTTTGATGTTATATATGTTGGCCACAGCAAGACTACGTTATGCGCAGAAATGGAAGGTCACCTAGATCCCCATAATGGAGGAATGGCTACTAAAATTGATGGAGTTAGCAGAGACGGCTAAACTGACTTTGATCAAAGAAAAAATATATAAATACTTTTATTTCTACTTGGAAACTGCTTCTGGACTTTGTGCTTGAGGTGGAACAAAGTGAAACTTTGATTTTTGGTTTTACCGATTAGTTAGATTTGTTGTTATAGAAATGGCTAGTTTATACTATTATGCAAAAGTAAAAAGTTGAGGTTTGGTGTTAATGCTTTATTCTATTGCACCAAAGAAAGTTGGAAGTCAATGCTTTTTTTTTCTTTTTCTCCTTTTCTTTCCCTCACTTTTCCCTTCTCTTTTTCCTTCCCTATTTTTTCTACTATTTACTTTTGTATTTTCTTTGTATGCTATATTATAAACTATTAAAAGCTGTTTAAAAGAAAAAAAAATGAAATAGAAATGTTTATCCAACTGTTGATATGCTGAACTCTGCAACTGCTGGAATCTAGGCCTGGAAAGTCTAGGCCTGGGTACAGGTTAATTAAATAAACTATTAAGAAAGTATATATATTAGATGTTTTGAATGTTATGCAACTCAAATGTTTGAGTTAGAAACTGGTCACTTAATAAATATTTAAAATTACAGTGAGCTAGTTTTTACTGGTTTCTGGCAATAAATGCCCATTCAAAAGAATGGATCCACATTTATGACTGCAGTATTTGTTTAATAGCTGCAGGTTTGCTTAATGACCATTGCAAAAATATTATAAAATTGGGTCTGGTTCCATGGTTGCCTCAACTTACAACTGGGATGACTTATGACCTGTAAGTCTTACTACCTAGAAATGACTACCTATATAGATATTAATGCATTTTTATTCCATCCACACTCAACTGAACCCAATGTTTTGTATGCTTTTAGTAGGATAGATTACAGATAGTTCCCAACTTATAACCACAGTTGGTACTGGAATCTCAATTGTTAAGTGCAACAGTCGTTAAGTGGGATGTCCACATGACTTTTTTGCTCAATGATTGCAATCCCAGGACTCCCGGTTGAGTTGTTCATTGCCTGGGTTGTTAAGTGGACAGAGTGAAAGAAGGACAGAGGCAAACCCTTTGATAGACTCCAGGAAAACATGCAAGGAGGGAAAATCAAGAACAAAGGCACATAACCTCACACTCACAGCAGGGAAGTTTAAACGTTATGAAGAAAGTATTATTTCACAGAAAAAGGAGTGGAAGCTTGGAAACTGAGTTAGTGGGTCAGTCATCAGTAATTTGAGTTTAAACATGCCTAGAATAAACCCATGTTCATCATCCGACAAAAATTTAAAAAAATAAAAATAAAATATTAAAAAACAATAGATACATAATTTAAAAGAAAACAAATAATTCAAAGGGCAGATTCGATGGACCACTAGGTTTCCCCCCCCCCCTGCCATCAGTTTTCTATGTTTCTATGGTATGAAACCTTTTGGTGGGCTCTAGGAATGAAACTGAAGCTTTCAACTTAGTTGAAAAGTTGCCCAACAAAGGATTTAAGCTCCTCTCTCTTCCTTCCGCTTGCAACTTTCCTCATCGATTTTCTAGGAAAGCGAGCAGAAAAGATTGCAAATGGTGATAGCAATAACAATTGCAACAGCATTTAGGCTTATATACCACCCCATAGCACTTTACAGCACTCTCTGGACAGTTTACAATGTATTTGCATATTGATCCCATCTGGGTCCTCACTTACTGATCTCAGAAGGGTGGAAAGCTGAGTCAACCTTGATTACAGGGTGCTTGGCAGCCAGTTTGATCTAGTGGTTAAGGCATCAGGCTAGAAAGCAGCAAACAGAGAGTTCTAGTTCTGCCTTAGGCATGAAAGCCATCTGGGTGGCTTTGGGCCACTCCCTGTTCCTCAGCTCAACTTACCTCACAGAATTGTTGTGTGGGGAAAATAGGAGGAGGATAATGTTTACTGCCTTGGGATACAAATAAAATAAAACTAGTCATACATGGCAAGCCAGTTGCCAAGTGCCCAAAATCTGATCACATGTCCATGGGGTGCATATAAGATATTTTACAATGGCCAGAAGTGCTTTATGGACCATAAGACAGCCTTTCTGGGTCCATCATAACTTTGTGTTGTTGTTAAATGACTAGTTGTAGGGCAAGGACTACCTGTATTTTTAATCTTTTCAGATCTAGTTCCCTCCATTATTTCTGGGGATTGGGGTAAGCTCAAGTAACTTTGTAGTTGAAGAGAAATTTAATGTAGATTTGATCTTGTCAGCAGTTCTTAACTGCTTGTACTGGTTTTTGTACTGGCTTTCTTTTAGCAAAAACTTCCAGCATTAGGACTGAAATTGCCTCCTTATTGCTAAAACATTTAAGATGGAGTATGAGCCTCTTCTAATGAATTCTCATTCATTAGGACCTAGATGCTTGTCAACGAATTACATTCGTAGAGGATGAAAATGAATTATCTGTTCTTTCTGCTGTCTCCATTACTCTATCTATTTTGTTCTAGACATTTTTAAGAAATGTAGGGGATAGTAAATTAATGAAGATTGTCCTCTGATTTTCCTATGAGTGTTGCAAGAGTTAACTACAGATACTCCTTATTTAGTAACTGCCTTGTTTATCAGTAATGTTGATGTAAAAGTAACTTTACTACAGAGGTGGTATTCAGCAGGTTCTGACCAGTTCTGGAGAACCGGTAGCAGAAATTTTGCGTAGTTCGGAGAACCGGTAAATACCACCTCTGACTGACCCCGCCCCTATCTATTCTCTACCTCCCGAGTCCCAGCTGATTGGCAGGGAATGGAAATTTTACAGTATCCTTTCCCTGCCACACCCACCAAGCCATGCCCATCAAGCCACAGACCCGGTAGTACAAAAATTTGAATCCCACCACAATCAAGCCACAATCAAGGTTTCACTTAGAAACAGCTTTGATTAACAACTGAGTTTCCCCCCATCGCCTTGAATAAAGACTATGTTTACTTACTTAACTCTGGTTCTAAGGAAAAGTGATTAAACTATAAAGTACAGTGCTTTGGTTTGTTGCATATGAGTGAATGACTAATTTTTAAGGAAACTAAAGATTGACACCTTCAAAGAACATAAAAACCCAACCTTCTGACTTCAAAATGACAAACTAGACTATAACTCCATTCTGGCTGTTTGCATAACTTCATCTTTTGTTTCAAGGTCCTTCATATTTGGAAACTGGCTTTTACATATACAGATTCTTCTTTATATAGTTTTTCTTTGAAGAGCTAGTAAGAACTGATTGAAGGCTGACAAAATTGTTTCTGACTATTCTGGAACACTTAAAGCCACACCCTCTCCTTTTACTGGTAAAACAGTGGTCTAAGGGTGTGTCTATGTAAAAGATTTGCCTGAAGTTGTATATGCTTATGCAGGCCATCTAAACTTGTGCAGCTTATGTAAGAAGAACCCAAAGAAATAATGCAGCCTCTGTGGTTTTGTTTTTTTATGTTAAGCTAAGTATGATTGATTTACAATACCAGTAGATCTTTGCATTTTACTCTAACACAATATATGCATACTTTTAAAAAGCCTGCATACCACACATTCGTACCGAAACTGCACATCATATTCTTGCAGTGTAGTGTATTTTTATTGACAACTGAACAGTGAATTATGGAGTTTTTTCCTTAAAGCTTACTTCTGTTATGGCAGTAAATAAATCACTATCTGCTTCTGTTTCTTCATCTGCAGTATTAGAAAAATTAAGATTTACTATATAAATTAATCTAAGTATTATTGATTTCTTTAAGGTTTTGCTACTTAAATGATCACGGATACCTCATTTCCACCTAATAAAATACAAAGATTTTGGCAATTTACTGAACTAAATCAAACTAATATTCAGTATGTTGCTTACTCAGCTGAATGATTTACTTACATTTCTTTATTTAGCAAATTTATATGGCTGCCCATTTCAAAGAATGTGACTCTGAGCAGTGTACAGGCAGCAGCAATTAAAAACAATATGACAACTATTCATTAAAATAATGTGACTAAAATAAATATAAACAAAACCCAAAATTGCTGGAGGATAACAACCACGTAGGTACAATATAATGTTGATTAAAAGGAAAATAAGCTTAGTACTTTGTTCCAAAATGCAGCAGTCTGCTTCTGAAATGATTTTGAGAATAAAAATGACTGCAAGTGAACAGATGTGGGCAGAGGAAGAAAGGGCAGAGTTCCCAATGATAATTAAAAATAAAGATACAGTGGAAATGTTGCATGTCCAATGTATAATTGGACATGCTTCCCACTTCTTTTGACAATATTTACTAGATAATGCTGCATGTGTTGAACTAAACGTACATATACAATTTACTAGAACCCTCAGTAGAGACCAGAGTTTGAATTGGAGGTTGGGTTCACAGAGCAAGCTTGATCCTGATTTTGGGGCAACCCATAACTATTTTTATAGAAGGCTTTGAGAAAAATCATGATTTAGTTAAAGATTGGAAAAAGGAAGTTTGGGGTTCTGGATTGTATTAAGATTTATTCTCCATTCCTTGGGACAGTTGCTATCTTAGGCACAGAGGCTGCTAAATTTTGGCAGAGGTTTTGTGCCTCTTAACATTCAGCTCTGTTTTGAAATCTGTATGCATTGTTGGCCAAGATAACCATTTAAACCTTAAGCAAAGTTTATAACATATAAAGCCAAGAACAAAATCCAACTTAAATACTTGTCTGCATCCTCCCTTCCCCCTCTTAAGTCCTCACCATTTCTTTCCTAAGAACTGGAATATTTAGATGTCCTGTTTTGTGTACTTCCAGAATAAAATGTGTTTTTTTGTCTTTTTCTTGTTAACAGTCAAATATTATACATTAGGAATGTGTATGCTCTTAAGTTCCTTAACCTCAGGAATAGACATGCTGCTTGACCTCAGCGACCTCCTTCAGGTAATTGTAACTGATTTTGTTTAAATATTTTGTTAAAACAATAACACATGCCAAAAACTGAAAGCAGAGAGAATATAACAGCAGCTTTATTCCAGCAACTTTTGTTGTCTTTTTCTCCTATTTTGCTGTATTGGTTCATTGAGTGCAATTAGAATCAGGTGTTTGGTATATATCACTCCATTTTACAAACAACAGATCAACAATATAATTGTGATGCTAATAATTAGGCTGCCAATGCTGTGGGCTTTGTACTGTGTTCAGATTTATGTTTATGTATTCTATTTTAAAAACAGATTTAAAAAATACTGGCAAAAGCAGGTGTTCAGTTCTGTAAAGCTGGAGGAAAATTATTTTAGCAGAAATTTCAGAAGTTGGCTTGAAAGAAGAATGCTGGCAAAATTATATATGTATTATTTCTTAAGTAACAATTTCCCAACTTGGGGCTCATCAGATATGTTGGGATGGAAAATCCAAGAATACAGCATCTGGAATGTTAAAGATGATTTCCCCCCATATATTATAATGATCAGATGAACTTGTCATCTGCATGAGAATGATTTAACTGAAGTATGCAAGATGAAGCAAAAACCATAAGTTTGAAATGACCATTCTGTTTATTCTATATACATGCTGAGGATTCTTCTTTGCCTCATCCTCATCCTTTAAATAACTGGCATCCTCTGTTCACTTTTTTCTTCCTAGCATTTTCGTGCAAGTGCAGGGTATGCTGTTTTTGGATCAATCAAGTATTGGTTTCTGTTGGTTGAAACAGAAATTAACTGACTGGCTTATCTGACATAATGGGCTGAGAAAGAGTGACTGGTCCAAAGTCACACAGCCAGCTGTCATGCCTAAGGCAGGACTAGAATTCACAATCTCCTGGTTTCTAACCTGGTGCTTTAACCACTAGACCAAATTGACATTCAGTCAATAGGACTCTAAATTTATAATACTTTTAACACATTTCACTTTTTTTTAATAGGGGATGAGCTTTAATTTGACTGAACTCAGAAAAACTTATTTCTATGTATGCATATATATGACTATGCAGCTACATTCTAAAAGTAACTTTAGTTGGCAGTATATGGGGTTTATGTGGAAAGAGTGAAATATCCTTAATGTCTTTGCTTATGATGTAATATAAGAAATCCTTATTAAATGGATAATTTGCAACATCATTCTTATCTTTATGATATCTGATTTATCTCATATGGTCTTAGGTATATTGGATTAGAGTACATCTCACTTAGCAAGTGCCTTATTTAGCAACCATTCCTGGTTATGATGGTGATGAAAAAGTAACTGCACTAATTCTCACATTTACAACTTTTACAGGTTTGAAAAGCTTCATAACCACAATTGTGGTTTCACTAAGTGACTAGTTAACTTAATAACAGAGTTGCCAGCTCCAATGTGGTTGCTAGACACTGCTAAATTTTATCAAAAGTTTTAAACTTTTCTTTCAAAATGGTTTTCAGCACAGAACTTTATTAATAGCTAATATATAACTACCGTCATGTGTTATAAACTATATATTATTTTTTATCTATTGTGGCCTCTTACAATCATATGATTTTTCTGAAAATAAAATTGAAAACAAACAAACTGAAGATTTGGATACCAAGCTGTCAGTCTTTATAATAGAGAAATGATATATTCTGTATTAGTACATATTATCAAACTACATGCAGGCAGAAAACAAATAAGTATGCAGCTTTACACCAGTTACAAACCCTTATTTTAATGCACATTAATATAATTCATTTGAATTGTCTGTGTTTAAGAAAGAGTTTCTTAAAATTGATATTTAATTTATGAAGAAAATATTAACAGTGGAATTTATTACAAGCTAAATTCCAAAATAATTTCAAAAATTCTTAAAAAGAGCATTTTAGATAATACTTTCCAAAAGCAAATCACAACTCTTTCATATAGTAGTAATGAGGGAATGTTGATTATCGCTACATCTGTTGGGTGTTCCACAGTCAATGATCTTTCCAGAATAATAAAAAAGGACAGCTTTTCTATTTCAGTAAGAAAATCAGCCTTTTCTGATGTGATCATAACCAACAAGTAAGGCACAGTAATCAGACTGGAATTAATTGGAGAATTAACTTTGTGTAAAAGTAATTGTGTAATACTGTGCTTCTTGATTTTACGGGGAAATTAGAAGGAAATGAAATCATACATCTACCTTGAAATTGAAGAAAATGGATTATATGGCAGGAGTAGTTAATGGAAAAAATGAGTCAAAACTTTCTGAAAAATGAAGAGACTAAAAGCAAAACTGCTTTTAGTCCAACAAAGAAGAAAAATGGAAAATCACAGAAGAAGCTGATATTTAGTGATTTAAAAAAAAAACACAAATAGGAGACAGAAAGAGGAATAGAAGAAATCTGTATTATTAGCTTAGATTTGTAGAGATAGTATCAAGAAAATTAAAACTCAAAATGATCTGAAATTGGTAAATAAAAAACCGTTTTTTTCAAACATATTGGAAAATAAGAGAGAGAAAGAAACTGAGCTGTTGAGAGAAGATAGCATAAAGGATAATAGATAACAAAGGCAGAATTATTCCATTCCCATTTTGATTAGTCTTCCCTAAGAGGATACCTCTTCCACTGGGTGTTTATGAAAAACAGATTCAAAGAACATAGTTCCAGCTTGAGTCTTGAGAGAAATATAGTCAAAGATCTATTTACTTTGAAAGAGTTTAAATCTCAAGAGATAGATGAATTGCATTCTAGGATACCAAATGAACCCTCTGATGGTCTGACTGAAACTCTATTCTTATCTTTAAAAAGTCCTAAGAGAATGATTGAAGTAATAGATGTCTGGAAGAGATAAATATTCTTTTCTTTAGAAAGAGGAAAAAAAGAATCTGATCAAATATTAAAGCAATGGCTCTGGAAGCACCTTGAAAACAATGTAGTGATTCCTAAAGTTATCATGAATATGTTAAGAACATGTCATTGTTGGGGCTTTATTTATTTTTTATTTGGGAAACCTGAAGGGGTAGACTAGAGCCTTGAGGAAGCTGTTGAATGTTATGCAGAAACAGCTTCCAGAGTCTCTGTGAAGTGGATGATGCTGATGTGTTGGGATTTTGTGATACTAGTTTTATAGAGGCCTCAAAGCCTGGGCATAAGTGGTTTGGGGTGGAGTTGTTGGAGCTGATAGGAGCCATTCTTGGAGAAGGCTGATTTGATGTATCACATGATACAGTTTTTCAGCCCTCGTGGCTCCTCCTGCCACATAATCAGATCCTTGGAGGCCTCATTTACAGATGCTACCAGGTTTCCCTGCAATAAAGCTTACTTCATCCATGATTTCATTGTGAGTGAGAGGGTAGATGTGACATGCATTACCAAGACTTGGATGGGTGTAGAAGGGGATGTTTCCCACTCAGAGTTATAACCATCTGGGATTGTCTTTGGATATCATTTTAGGGCTGTGGAACTGAGGATAAAATGGCTGTTGTCAGGGGAAGGAAACTTGTAGAAGAAACATTTGTCCCCAGATAATTGAATATGAGATCATGTATGAAGTTGGGCTCAAGAGATTAGTTGGGATTGTTCTGTTCTTTCCTATTTGAGGCTGTGCCTAGGCTGGTGATCAAACTTTCAGATGGTCAGTGACCGAACTCTCACTGGTAGTCACATGATAATAAAGGTCTTGGATTGCTCCTGAATGACCTCTTTCTGTTTGCTGATCCTGTGGTGCCCCTTGTTTACCACAGAACATCTGGAAAAGAAGTGGCAAAAGAGAGAGCTAGAATACCAGTGGAGAAAGACTGAGAGAAAATCTGACTGGATATGTGCACAAACCTAAATTGCTGTGGTGAAAACCGCAGCAAAATTTAATTATTTTTTTTCTCTTACAGTATGCACAGTGTACCATTCAGTTGTCCATTTTAGGCTATTCCTCATTCTTTTAGAAAGGGAGTGGAGCACTTCTATCTTAAGAAATCAATGTTGGATTCAATGGACAGTTTTCATCCAGTTTTCAACCTCTCCATTTTGGGAAGGTGGTACAGGATCCTCTAACTCCAGAGGACCCTGGGAGAAATTAACTACCTGTATTTTTTATAGTCCAATTTCAGAATGGAATATAGTGTTGACATGATAATAAGGTTTATGGATTACCTCTGGCAAGATCAAGACAGAGGTGATACAATTCTTCTGATCCTCTTTGACTCATCAACAGTTTTTTATATCATCACTCATGGTATACCCTGAACCAACTTTAGGAATGGAAAGTTGGGCACTCTTTTACCATGGTTTTCTTTCATTTCTCTGAATACTGCATGCTACGCTTGCAGTTTATTGGGTTCCTTAGAGCTTTATGCTCTTTCCCCCTCTCCTACTCAACATCTACATAAAATTGCTAGGAGAGGATATCCAATGGCATATGGTCAAGTATAATCAATGTATTTGTTTTACTATATATCTTGACTTGCTGACCAAGTGATGCTCTAGTGAGCTGTCCTGATGCTTGATGGCTGTTAGGATCTGGTGTGAATAAACAGGTTTGGCTCCCTAACTAGTGTGTCCAATACATGGAATGGAATTATAGAGGTTTTTGTGAATTTAGTTATTTAATTTTTCATGGAAACTCTGTTACTGGTGAATAAATTCTGTCTTGACTTCAAATGAATCATTAAAACATGCCTTTTTAATCTGTCTAAAGTTAATCACTTTAGCCATTAGAGCTTTTGAAGAATGGTGTACAACTATCTTTAAAGCAAAGAAATTTATTCAGTATTACATAACACTCTTTTTATTAAGCACAGCAGGTTCTCCCAAACTTTCCAAAAATGAACTTGATGAATCTAATTGGAATTGTTTGTGACACAGAATTCCTTTAAAATCTAACATCAAGAATTGATCAGGAAGATAATCTATAGGTGGCATCCCAATCCATTACATTTTAATTTTTTTAGGCTGCATTGGCAGAATTGTAAGAACTAGCGGGCTGAAGCTGCTGCTGGATACCATTGG